ATTAAATGTTCCCAGTGAGTGGTTAATCAACAGCCAGAGATGGCCAAGGAGGGGGCTGGAGGGGGGCTGGTTTCAGGGTCAGGGTTTGGCTGGGTTAGGTTGTTTTTTCTGATTTTTGGTGCGCGGGTGTACGCTTTTGAACTGCTGAACTGCCAGCGTGTAAATCAATTGAAAATAATTTGTTACTTTTAATAATAAGTGAAAGAAGCTGTGCGCATGCCTGTGGCGAGGGGTTAAGCGGCGAGCAGGAACGATCTCCCCGGAGAGCGTGGGCCGAAGCTTACGGATCGGGTACTTGGGCACTGGGAACTGGGAACTTGGGAACCTGCCCCAGCTTGTAATTGATCATGTGTTTTGTCCGTCTCCCTTAGCCATCAGCGTTGTTTGCGTGCGAGGCCCAAACAAACAAACAAATAAACATTCAGGCCAGGCCGAGACTGTTGACTGTTGTGCCATAATCGATGAAATCAATCGATCAACGCTGGGAGCAGATCAACAGGAGCGTAGACTTTGGCGTTCTGAAAGGGAAACCTAAGGAATTCTATGAGGTATTTCCCAGGTATCATTTCAAAAGCAAAGAAGGTAAATAGGCATTTCAAGTACTTCTTTTTAGATTCTTCTAGATATTCATATGATAACAGAACCTCTCCCCCCTTCAACTACTCCCCTGCTGACCCCTTTGTTTTCACTTTTCGCAATCGAATTCTGCTGAGCCACTTGAGGATGACTGATGGGAGGGCATAACGAACCGATAGCTTCATCTAGTTAGGTGGTCCGTGAGTCAATCGCCGTGACTCGGTTTAGTCATTTTCCCGGCTCAAATCAATAAGAGCTTTGAGCGCCACATGTCGTCGATTCCTTGTAATCCCGAAATGGGAATGGGCAGGCACACATTCCCAGGCACCGGAGAAGATCCTGCTTAGGTTCTACATTCGGGTGCCTGGATGGGGAGCCTCTTATAATGTCTTATTTATATCGGATTATGGCCATCACACCATTGGGCCGTTTTTGTTGCTGTTTGTTGCTGTGTGGCCACCATCAGAGGGCTCACATCACACAAAGCCAGCGGGCGCATTAAAGTGTCAAGGAACGGGGAATGAAATCATAAAAAATAAAACAGACAGCGGACAGCAGACAGCAGACAGCGGGCAAGGGCGGAGGAGAACAAGTGAAAAGGCAGCCATGACAAACAAAAGAGTTGTCAAGAGCATGGAAGATGGTCCCCAGTCACTAACTAACTTGATACCGAGGTGTTTCCACTTTTATCTGTGGTTTTTTCCCTGGTAATTCAATTAAGTTCCCACTGGAAGGGGGAGGAGGATTAGGAGCAGGAGGAGCTAGTTTCGATCTCTCTCTATCGAGTGTGCTGGACTTCCAGGGACCTCCGTGCCCGTGAGCTGTCTGCCTATAAAATTGATCGCTCTCTTAGCCCGGCTAACTCTATTTTCGGGGCTAACAAATTTCCCAAACTGATTTGTGCCCGGCGATAAATTCAGCAACCTAATTGACAGCACAGTCCCCTGTCTCTGTCCCCAGGGTTCTGGCCCGAGGGTTCTCCGGTTTCGTTTTCCACTTCTAGGTGTCAATTAATGCACTGGCTGGAGGAGATTCAGCCAGTCCGATAAGGTGGAAAAGTCGGGGCAGAAAAATGGCCTAAAGCGATTACATTGTTAGAGCCACACTGGGAGAATTCGTCCTTTTAAATTCGAGAACCCTTTCAGATTCAGAATGTCTCGAGCTGAGATTTCTCTCAGTGCCCAGTCCCAGACAGTTGCTTTTGTTATGGTCAGTTAAGATTTGTTCGGACCTAAGTAAGTTATATTTAAAACACCTTCTTAGCCAAAACAAAAGTGTCAAAATAGCCGATCGATAGTGGCGACGGCCATAAAAACGAACACCCAGCGAGCTCGAAATTGAACTCGACTCGAGTGCTCGTCGCTGGTTCTTAGTCAAGTATCTGAGTATCTCAGTATCTGGGCACCTAGGTATCGGGGTATCGGGGTAGCTGGGTAGCTGGGTAGCTGGGTGTATCTCCCCAACAATTTTAGTGTCGTCGCCTGTCTGCAGAGTGGAAGTAGACTTGTCAGCCGAGTTTTCCGAGTTCTTGCCCTAAGTAACTACGCGTGTAGTGCAATTAGGCTGCGACATTGTGACACATGCGACTACTGTGTGCCTCAGCCAACAGTCGTGCAACTATCAAGTGTTGCGCTGTTTGCCAGGGACGTGGCTGAAAGGGGGGCCTGAAATAATAGGGGGCTGATGGCAGTATTTGTGTCCTCTCAAGTGGGTTCGTTCGAGTACTTTTCATGCAAGTACTTCGATAAGACCCGCCATGAGTAATGGTTCTTTCTTTCCGTATTCTTAAATATTTATTATTTCATAGCCATTCGAAAGGGAAATGATTGATGTTCCCATCGATAGGAAAATGTATCCAATTAGTATTCCCAGCTTTTACTTACTCTAAGTGGCTGGCCTTTAAAGTCCGTGGTTTTATTTTCTATTAATCTGCACTATCTGAAGTGGAAAGTGGCGTGATTTATATTTATTGTAAGAAGTTTTCAAATCAGCGCTCTTAGAGTTCTGAGGAAGGGGTGATAGCTAAACGGTTATGTTGCTGAGTTAAACTTAAATAAAATACAAAGTTAACTCCTTGAAACTAACCCATTCACATCCTACCAGCTTTTCTCTAAAAGCATTCCCTGCCTGTTGAAGTGGCAAAACGATGGCTGTGGCTATGGGCCAAAAGGCGTTGCGATGTCGGCATATCAAAAACCACTTCCAGAGCTGACAATCTAGACAATGTACAATTACGAGAGACAAGTTTTGTTTTGTCTGCGTTTTCTATTTTTCCTATATGAGCATATATATAGTTTTGGGCTTGGCTCACTCGACAAGTCTTGAATGGTTTTAGGTGGTTTTGAAGTTATGTTACTGCGGTAATGCTGTCATCATCATCTATGAGTGTTTCTGTCAACGGCCATTTTAAGCGTGTCCTCGATTCGATTCGATTCCAAATTGATTTGCAACGTTTTAATTGAACACCTCGGCTGTTGACCAGCTCACAGCTTCATTTCTGGGTTACTGGGTGGTCCCAACAGCCAGTGGACAAGGCCAAGTGCGAACGTGTCCGGGACAATGGAGATGACCCTATCTCAATCCCGTGTGTCCTTTTCCCCCGGGCATCTCATTAAAATTGCATGCTCGGTAGGAACAGAAAATAGGAGGAGACTGCCCCTGCGGCAGTAAATGGCTCACTTTTGGCAGGCGACTTTCCAGCACGTCCTGCCACTAGAATTTACAATGGCAGGACATCCACAGGATACGAGCTACATGCCACCCTAGTTGCGGAACCGATGCGTTTAATTGTGGCCCAAAAGGGACGCACAACCCCATGCGGACACATATCAATCTGGTCGGGATAACTCGCCCTCCCGCTGCCACTTTCACAAAATATTTTGGTTGTACGCAGTGCAATTATGGACAAGGTGTGTCGAAATGCCAGGACACCTAAATTCTCAACCCAGACCCGAGACTGCCTGCGGTGAAGTGTTGCAAAACAGGGAACACTAGTCCTACGGTTGACCACCCGACCAAGTTGGAGAGATAAGACTAGGTTTAGGGTTTGGCCAAAGCCAGCAGGACACGCCAAGGGGGCGCGCCCGGGATACTTGTCAAAAATAAATCCAGCCAAAAAAGGAATCTCTATGTAGACATCAATTGGCGAATACGTTTGCACTTTTCAGTCCCGAAGACAAAGCAAAATCAAAGCCAAGACAATGAGAGGGCCAAAATCAATTGTGCATGGCCATAAGGCCCGAGAGTATGTCATCAAGGTGGAGGTGATGTAAATGGTAATGGAAATGGAAATCGAGCAGCAAATGAGGCAGATGTAGACCCTTGATGCGGGCTCTCTCACCCCAGGGTGACCAAGACGACCTTAGGCCTCAATTAAAGACAATCCAATGGTCGATTTTGAGACAAAGATCACAATCTAGAACTGACAGTTCCGAGTAAGGAGCGTGCTAAGTGAAATGGAGTTGGCAAAAGAAAAATCTAGAGAATTTCTTCTCCCCATTAAGGAAAACCTCATACCTTCCGCAAGACATTTGGCACGTTCCCGAATTTCAAAAGAAGCCACAATGGAAACTAAGCCAAAACTGAAGACCAAACTGAAACACTGGCCATAAATATTTGGACCACACCTTAAAGTTAAACAATAACCGAAACCGAAATCGAAACCAAGTCAAGACAAAACCATAGCAAAACTGACATCAAACTCAATTCGACTCGATTTCATAAATTAACTTATGGGACAGTTTGCATATTTTGGTGGCGAGACTTCTGCTTACTTAATCGGCAACCTGAAAACTAATAGAGCTGCTTAAAGATGCGCCAATCGGGATCTGCATAAAAACTGAGTTATACGCCAATGGTTAATAAACTTTGACAGCTGCTGTTTGATGGTTCCACTTATATGGCTTTACGGATCGGGCCCAGTGAGTTATGTTTCCAGCATGAGAAATGCTAAAAGTCAGGAAGGTGTGGGAGTTGCTCATCGGATAAAGAAGATGTTTATAGTGATTAAAATCAGATCAAAACCACTCAATCTGATTTGGATTTGAATAAATAGTTAAAAGTTATTTGCCTTCCCAAATCTTTTCCACAAAGTGATATTTACAGCACCGTAAAGATTGCTTAATCAGTTCAGAAGGTGCCTGGAATTTGATGATGAATCAAGGCGTAGCTTCCATTATCAAACACCTGAAAACCACAAAATCCCCCTCGACGATAAAAAACTTATGAAATTTCAGTTGAAAATTACTTTCCTTGCATATATATTTAAGTATTTTTAGTGATAACTCCATATCAGTGCGAATATTTTACAGACTACAGCTATAGGCGATAATGAGATCGTTGTATCTTTGTGCTTAGTCACAGTTGCTAGAGCGACAATCAAGTTGTTAAGTCTAAGTAAGTAAGCAATCATGACACTCGCCGGGTTTAACATTACACAATCGACCGATTGATTTATTCAAGCATTACTTAAGCTAGTAATTAAACAGTCTTTTAATAACCAAAGCGGGTTTGAGGTTTGTTTGATTGAACATTGAACTATTGTAACATAACATTTGGTTTACTCCATAAGCACTACGAACTGAATGGGCTACTACGACTATAAGGTACAATAATATATAGTTTAAGCTATAGTTAAAGTTACTTATACATTATTTATTAGGTTTATAGTTTACAGTTGTGTGTTTTGGAATTGTTTTGTAGGAGGCTTGTGCTTGCAATACTTTCTTTAGACTTCTCATCAGATTTCCTCTGCTATTTGACTTTGGCATTTGGTTAACGCAATAGGGTTGGCTATATTTCCGGGTTATATAGAACCGATTGCACGGAGGATGACTCTTCTGCTCACTGGGTTGCGATTGCGATTGCGATGGCGTTGGCGATGGCGGATTGCTGGCGAGGTTTTCCCACTTCTACCTTTGGCCAGAACCTGAGCTGGACTCGGTTGATTTTCCATTCCAGGCATTTCCCATGCCTGGCGGCTGTCCAGCTCTCTGAATCTCTTCTTGAATCTCTCAACAGAAACCAGATTTCAGTTCGGCTGTCCTTCAATCTATCTGCTCATGATCTCGTCGATGGTGAAACCCAGCGTTCGCTTGGGCTTCTCGGAGGTGGAGGACGAGGAGGATAGATCCAGGACGGGCAGATGCTGTACCAAGTTCTCAGGTTGAGGCGAGCTCAATGCCTGGCTTGGTACGGAGTGGGAAGTGGCTGGCGGGGAGGCCACTTCCTTGGTGCTCTGCTCGCTGTGGCTCTGGAGGTGGCTCTTGAGGTTGGCCCGCTGGTTGAAGCTCCTCTGGCAGATGGGGCACTTGTGGGGTCCCTCCTCCAGATGAGTAACCTTGTGGACGGCCAGGGTGCGGAGACTGGCAGAAGCCTTTGCCGCAATCGCTGCACTTGAAGGGCTTGTCCTTGGAGTGGATGTACCGGTGGTCCCTCAGATGGTCCTGTCGCCGGAAGGCCTTGCCGCAAATGTCGCAGGAGTAGGGCCTCTCGTCCGTGTGGGTCCTTTCGTGGATCAGGAGGTTGTAGGACTTGGTGAACTGCCGGTTGCAGTACTTGCAGATGAACTGCTTCTTTGGGCGACTGGTGCCAGTTGCTCCGCTGGGTCCACCAGTGGCACCACCGGCTCCCAGCTTCAGGGTTGGCATGGATCCGAAGTGACGACCAACCACAGCGGCGTGCAGGGTATGGATGCCAGCGGGATAGGGACGCACATGGTGAGGATGTGGGTGCGGGTGGTGCGGAAGTCCATGGTGGTGGTGGTGATGCGGATGTTGCTGCTGCTGCTGTTGCTGCTGCTGGTAGATGGCTGCGTTGCGGATCCAGTGGTTCATCAGCTGCTGATGCACGGCCACGGGGTCGGCGGTGGCTCCGGGATAAACTGGATATTGCTGGGGTGCCTGATGCTGCTGCTGCTGTTGCATCTGCAACCACAGGCGATGTTGCTGCTGCTGTTGCTGCTGCTGCTGATGCTGCTGCTGGTAGTGGGCCATGTGTCGCATGTGGAGCTGAGTGGCCACGGCCTCCTCGCTTATCGCGGGATGTGCTCTCCTCAGGGGCTCCTCGGTGGGCGTATGCGGGGGTGTCAGCATGGGGGAGAGACTCGTCTCGCGCTCCTCCTTGATCACTATGAAATCCTCCTCAGCAAAGTCTAAAAGAGAGTAAAGAAGAAGTTAGTTAGTTAAGTTTTAATATAAGTTATTGTTATTTAATTTTAAAATTAAGACTAGCTAAAAGTTTATTTGTTATAACAACAAGAACTAAAGTTGGAAAGTGATTTTCCTTTAACTGAGTCTTGGCAGCTGGTAATCCATTTAGCCGTCGGCATTCCTAACTCGTTCTTAACTCGTTTTGAACCCACCTTGTTCTCTGCTTAAGTTGAGCTCGTCATCCACGGTTATGTTGCTGATGGGCGAGGCCGATGTGGAAGACATTATACTGTCTTTTTTGGCCGTTCTTGATTTATTTGGTTTTTGGTTAGACGGTTAGGGAACTGCGCGGTTCACTTTGGTTTAGCACTTGTGTATCTGTATCTGTATCTCTATCTGTAGCTGTATCTATATCTTTATTCAGCTGACTGAGCGTTCTTTTCGATGCGACGTGCCACCGACAACGTCTCGACACAAACTGAATTCGTTGGCCGTTCGCCGCTCTCCGACTCAAACGGTTGAAAATCGAAACGAAACGAAACGAGTGGAGTGTATATCCCTGTCTCTTTCCGCCTTTGAGTGACTTGTTGTTGCTGCTGTTGCTGTTGCTGCTGCCGCTGAGCGATGTTGCTGTTGGGAGTAGCGCTCGTTAATAACTGACTGCAACTGCCGGAGTGGCGACCCGTTTTTGAACCGGCCGAGAAGTGCGGAGGAGGGCGACCAGGGTGACGAGCGGCCCGACCAACGGCAGCTGCCTGTGGCGGGGTTGAAGTTATTTGGAAATGGTAGATAGGTCCACGCCTACCTGCTGCTCTCGGATTGGCCCTCATAGCATTCGGTATCTGTATCTGGTGGATGTGGATGTGGACGTGTCTCTGGCTTTTTCCGTTTGAGCAGTAAACAAGCGGAAACCGTTTGCCTGACGGTCGCAAGCCTGGGATATTGTTGGTGTTGCTGTTGCTGCCGCTGCTGCTGATGTTGCTGCCGTAGTTGCTGCTGCTGTTGCTGCTGCTGATGTAGCTGTAGCTGCCGCTGTTGCTGCTGCTGCTGCTGCTGATGGCAGGCAGCCATCGCTAAAGTCCAGCCCGCATCCCAATCCCAATCCCTGAACGCATCCCTCCCAGGCGCATGTGCCATCGTCAGCAGCAGTACCAGCAGCAGCTGCACGAAGGTCCTGGGTGATGGGTCCTGGGTGCTGGCATGTCCTTTCCATCTCCATTCCCCGCTAGCTCTCGTCCTCGTGCCTTTTTAATGTCGTGCTGTCTGCGCCCCGGGATATTGTAATCTATTGTCCCCGCCCGTGTTTGTGTTTGTGCCTGATTCGTTTTCACTTAAATTTTAATTTGCAACACAAATCAGTTTTTTATTCCCCATTTCGGTTTACACTTTAATCTGGAATTCAATTAGCCGCTTCAAAGTGATGGCCGTAAAAGTTCTCAGTGGGCGGAGATGGCCGTTTGTAGCGAAAATTGATTGGTTTTTAAAAGGGTTTCCGGCAGGATATGCTGGCCATATTTTACAGCAAATTAACATTATGTTTGACGTATTGCTAATGCAATTTGGAGGGTAATTCAAAGAGGTAATTTGGTCATGGAAAATGGGAAATTTCATTTTTACAAATATGGGATTGGGGTTTGAAAAACTATCATGGAAAGGTAGGTTTAAAACTACATTTTGACCCCGGAATATATTATACAAAATTCCGAAATAGATTTTTAGAAGTTCCTCGTTATACAATTGCACCGCAGTGAACTTTCACCATTTCCACCTGAGCTGCCACTCGGGCTTGTCAAATCACCTTTAATGAGTTTCGCATTCGAAGTGCTTCATGCTACTCACTTGGGTAATTATTTAATAAGATGTAATTGAATCGAGGCGAGACAGGCAGGTGCACTTTATGGGCACTTTTCTTAAACTGTCTGGAAGGAAACTACTCGAGATTAAAAAGATATTGTATAACAGTGCTAGGTCCTGGTTTTTATAGAGGGAAGGAAAACTCACAATTTATATCTCGAGTGGAGTTGCGTATTAAACATTTCATAATTCCACAATAATTGGGAAAGTTATATTTATTATTGAGACACTTCAGACATTTCACATGCTCTTTCCCTGCTTCCGTATGGAATACCATTCTCCTGATGGATTTTCCGCAAATTAAAAAATATTTCACAATTTTCCCAAAACAAGGATAATGCACATCCCATTATCCTGCTTCCGAATCCCGTACATTCCCATGACTTTGACTTGTCGACTCTGCTGGTGAAGCATTTCCGCAATGGATCTGCGGCTAATCCTTTAACTTGGCAAAACAAGAAACATTCCCATTGATTGGTTTTACCAAGTCAGGGATTCGGGATGCAGGATGTGAGGGACTCGAGACTAAGCCCATTGCGACCCACTCCGTCAGAAACGGTCCTTTGCCAGATTGACTTTGGGTGATTAAATTAAGCAATATTTACCCAACAATTAGTATAAACTTTCCCAAGCGGTGGCGGGCGAAAGATCAAACAGGCTGAATCAATAGGTAAAGGTATCCTGCAGTAAGGATTTTCCCAGAGTGCGTGTGTCTGGGATTCTGTGTTGGCCAGATTGGATCCGTTCGATCCGCTCAAACATCGAATATACCGGCGGTTCGTCAGCGGCTGACAGCTTTAGCCTCGGCGTTTGGCAATTGTCGCCGCTGTTGACAGTTGACAAACAGGCGGCGAACTTTTCCATTTCAAAGTGAGGGACTGCGACTCCGCCCACCCTTTCGTTTCCTTTCCTTTTCCCAGTCGCGAGCGGTAATTAACATCATGTCATAAGTGTACAAAGGCAAATAAATAAATAAATAGATAAACACGGCGGAGTGGAGACACATGAAAGACACAGGCCGATTGTTTCCCAGCTCATGATATATGGCATCGCACTGGCTGACTTCCTGCTACATCCATTTGTTGTTGATACTAATATTATTGCTATTATTGTTGTTGCTCTTGTCAACACATGGCCGAAAGGATTAGCCCTCTCGGGGGAAACACATGTCCCGGTATTTGCATGTGGAAAACGCGAGATTCTCCAAACGCTCGGAAACGGAAAGGAAGGAAACCGAAGGCTACGGAAATCAACGAAAGCAGGAAAGATGGCCATAAAAAAGATGGGAAGACCTGGAACTACGAGCCAAGGACCTGCACCAATAAAGAAGTCATTGGCTCGGCCATAAAACCATAAAAAACTATAAAACTCTCGGCCTGCTCGACATTAGTAGCCTGGCATTGTTCTTAAAGGTCCTCCTCTGCGAAAAAATATCCAAGTACAAAAATGTAGAGCGTAAAAAATATAACAACGAGAGCAAAAAATCACAAAATCACAAAATCATCATAAACCGAAAATGACAACTTACTTAGTCGCTTCTTTGGCATCATAAAACGCCCAAAGACACTTCGCAGAAGACCCTCGGTTCTTGACTCTCGGCTCGGTGGACTCTGACCCGGTTTTTAGCAATGTTCCTCTTGTTTTTTGGTTGCTCTCTTTGTCTGCTTTTTTTGGGCCATGCATATTTTATGGTATTTTTTCGTGTTTCCACGAATAAAATTAGATTTTTTAGAGCAGAAATGTCAGAGTCGCAGTCGCGGAGTCATAGGCAATAATTGTAAAATGACTTTTTAGTGGGCCATATGCCAGAGGTTTTCATTTTCCACCAAAATCACTTTTTGTTGCCATTGGAAAAGATATGGAAAATAAAGAGCCCTACTTTTTGGGAATCTCTATCTATCTGATGACCTTCACTTGCAGGAAAATCTATTACTTCTTCCTGCGAATCGAAGTTGGGTAAGCTACTGAAGGAAGTTAATAAAGATTTACTTTGGTTTCTAGAACTAAGTTTTCTATTCACCATTTTCAGCCATTTTCTTTTTCTGTGTTAAAAAACCATCAGCAGGAACAATTTTATATAATTTCCCCCCGGGGAAGGAGGGGTTAAAATACAGCACAATTTTCCCAGGCACCAAGCTAAGATGGAAGAGGGCCAAAAGCCTCGGCTCAAGGCTTCGTTCGAAAGCAATTTGCAATTTCATGGCAAAAACCGACCGAGTATAGTAACGGCGATGAGGCAGAGGAAAAAACAATTTCAGTTATTGGAAATGCTTCCAACGAACTGGGCAACAACAACAACAACAGGGAAAACAACCAACTCGCAACCTCGATTTCCCTGGCAAAACGCCAAAAAGTCGCTAAAATTGTTCCACAGCAGTCCTTGGGATTCGCATGATAATTAGGTAAATCTGTATATGGGATCGGGATCTCTTTCCCTCGCGGATGTCCAGAAGGGATGTGCAGAAGTCAAGGCTGCCGAGAGACGGGTGCATGCGGCATTGTTGCGATTTGAATTGCTTGCGAAAAGTATCTAAACACACCATAAACGCGTCACGCCCGCGACTCCGCGAATCGTAAACCCAAGGACATCTTGGCCATAAGTTGGCACGACCAAAACCAAAACATTCGGCTCGACCCCGAAACCCTCTCCGCTCTTGAGGAAAAGGGGTGTACCCTTTACTAGCGTAATTAAAGGGGTGTGGACGGGTAGGTGCCCAGGTAGCCGATACCATCTTGGGATTGTCGTAGGGGTCGTAAAACCATATTCCCTCTTCTTGTCCTGGAACCCTAGCCCTAACCCTAAACGTTGCCCTGAACTGGACTTTGGCTTCGGGGCCATTGTGTGTCGCCTTGCGGTGGGCGCGACGCACTTTTACTCCTTCCAAAAGGAGGAATATTCCTTCGCTCACGCACGACCATCGTACCTGGAAGACCAGCGCGCTAACAAAAGGAGTAGCCCAAGGATTAGTGAACTTGGAAGGGCATCCTTCGACGCGAGAATCTGCACATTTCATATGCGAGTGTGTGTGGCCTCGTCTGGGTTCCTCGGCCCATTTCGGGTGTAGCGAATCCAGGAAGGGTTAGTCCGCAGAAGGGTTGCACTTTATTTGGCAAAATAATTAGATTGATCCGGAGGGCAGTTGACTTCTCTGGTCATATTAGTGCTGCGAGAGGCAACTCCCCCACAACAAGCCTGCGATTTCCTGTAGCGAATCCAAAGGGTTTAGGGCTGAGTTCGGTTTGGGCGAGCAACTCCCCGAAAGGATTGCGTTCTATTTGCCAAAATAATTAGATTAATCCTTTCACAAGCCGGTGAGCTTGGTAAGAGGAAAATGAGTTCAGATGATTGCCAGGAAGAGTGTTATGAGAAGTTCAAAGGGGTGAAGGCAAAACACTTTACTGTTATCATTTGAAGAAAGGTAAGAAGGACTTTGAGCTCTGACTTCGACTGAGCTATTTACTTTTTCTGAGTCAGATATACTTTCTCTTTAAACAGGCATTAAATATTGTTTTCTACAATCGTATCTTCTCTAACTCAAGAATTAAATACGTGGTTTCTGTCAACTTTATTCCGCCCTCGTGATTTCCACCCAAAAAAGTGACTCACCACCCGAAACTCCTCCCCCTTTCGATGTCGGCGCTTTGTGGGATGTCAGCTACCTTAAAGCACCTCGTTCCGCGGGTGGCTTATCGATCGAGCGTCAGTAACCATCATGCCCCCATATCATCCTCTATCCCCACCATGATTGCGTCGGAGCTGTTTGCCGTATGGTAATAAACGGAG